TCATCTAGTGTGTGTGCGTGAATTCGATCCTAACAACTGGTATCAGAGCTAAGGAGATTCAACACGATCACAGAAGATGGATAGTTCGAAGCTTGGAATCGAGAATTTTGATGGATATGATTTAAGTTTCTGGAAGATGTAGATCGAAGATTATCTGTACCAGAAAGATCTCCACGAACTGTTGATCGGGGTGAAGCCGGAATCCATGACGAAGGAGAAGCGGAAACTCAAGGATCGCCAGGCTCTAGGGTTGATCCGGTTGACTTTGTCAAGAAATGTGGCGTTCTATATCATGAAGGAGAAGACTACGTCCGGTTTGTTGAAGGCACTGTCAAACATGTATGAAAAACCATCGGCTATGAACAAGGTATATTTGATGCGTAGATTGTTCAATTTACAGATGTTTGAAACTCGATCCATTTCTGATCATATAAATGAGTTCAATATGATTGTGAGTCAACTCAATTCTGTGGATATTAATTTTGAAGATGAAATTAAGGCGTTGATTTTGATGTCATCTCTGCCCGAGTCTTAGGATACTGTTGTTGCTGCGATTAGCAGTTCTCGTGGATCTGAGAAACTGAAGTTTGATGAAATCCGTGATGTTGTTCTTAGCAAAAGTATTCGCAAATGAGAAGTGGGAGATTCATCGGGCAGTGCTCTCAGCGTTGATCGAAGGCGGAGAAGTAAGACGAAAGGCCAAAATCAACATGGTCGATTAAAATCAAAGAATCAAGGAAAATCATTGAACAGATCAAATGTGACTTGTTGGAACTGTGGAGAAAAAGGGCACTTTCGGACGAACTGTACAAAGCCAAAGAAGAAACAGAATCAGAAATTTAGAGATGACAATGATTATGTAAATTTAGTAGAGGACATTGGGGATGCTCTAATCCTTAGTGTGAATAGCCCGGTTGAATCATGGATTTTGGATTTTGGTTCATCTTTCCATTCGTCTCCAAGCAAGGAGTTGTTCCAAAACATCAAATCTGGAAATTTTTGAAAAGTATATCTTGCAGACAATAAAGCCTTAGAGATAGAAGGAAAGGGGGATGTTTGCATAAAGACCACCTCTGGAAACCAGTGGACATTGGAGGATGTCAGATATATTCCTGGGATCAAGAAAAATTTGATCTCTGTTGATCAGTTGGATAGCACGAGATATGCAGAAGTGTTTGGGAAAGGTTTATGGAAGATTGTGAAAGGTTCTATGGTAGTAGCTCGTGGCACAAAATCTGGAACTTCGTACACCACTGCAGGGTGTATAAACATGGCCGCTGTTGCTGAAGGTGCTTCCGGTTCATGTCTGTGGCACAACAGACTTGGAAACATGAGTACTAAAGGAATGAAGATGCTGGTTGCAAAAGGAGAATTAGAGGGTCTGAAGTCTATTGATATGGGTATTTGCGAGAGCTGTGTTATGGGCAAGCAGAAAAAAGTAAGCTTCACAAAGATTTCTAGAGAGACAAAGAAAGTGCGGTTGGAAATGGTCCATACAGATGTTTGGGGACCATCTCCAGTATCATCACTTGGAGGATCCAGGTTCTATGTTACCTTCATTGATGATTTCAGCAGGAAGGTATGGGTTTACTTCTTGAAGCATAAGTCAGATGTGTTTGCAACTTTCAATGAGTGGAAAGCTGAAGTTGAGAATTAGATCGGTTTGAAAGTCAAATGCCTAAGGTCTGACAATGGAGGAGAGTATGACAAATTAGAGTTCAAGGCATTCTATGCAGCTGAGGGAATCAGATTGATGAGAACAGTTCGTGTTAAGACAAGGCAGAATGGAATTGCTGAGAGGATGAACAGAACATTGAAAGAGCGTGCAAGGAGTATGAGGTTACAATGTGGGCTGCCCAAAACACTTTGGGCGGATGCTGTGAGCACAACTACATACTTGATCAACACGGGACCATCAGTTCCTTTAGGGTTCAAGATTCTAGAGGAGGTGTGCACAGGAAAAGAACTCAAGTACTCACACTTGAGGACTTTTGGTTGCACTGCTTGTGTTCATGTTGATCCAGAAAAGAGAGACAAGCTTGACGCCAAGGCTGTGAACTGTTACTTCATAGGATATGGTTCTGATTTGTTTGGTTACAGGTTTTGGGATGACAAGAACAGAAAGATCCTGAGACATTGTGACGTGACATTTGATGAGTCTGTCCTGTACAAGGACAGAGAACAGCAGGTTCTAGAGATTAAAAAGCAAGTGGAAGTTGAGGTTGAGTTGGAGAAGAGTAAACCTAGAGATGTCGAAGCAGATACTCAACCAACTCCTACTGAAGAATCTGAAGTGGAGCAAGTTACACCTGAGCAGATGTTAAGGAGATCATCCAGATATATCAGGGCACCAGATTGGTATTCACCTTCATTACACTATCTATTGCTGACTGATGAGGGGGAACCAGAGTGTTTTGATGAGGCCCTACAGGTGGAGGATTCGATCAAGTGGGAGAAAGCCATGGATGATGAGATGAGGTCACTTGAGAAGAACAACACATGGGTGTTGACTGAGCGACCTGCAGGGAAGAGAGCTTTGTTGAACAAGTGGGTGTTCAGAATCAAAACTGAACCAGATGGCAAAAGAAGGTTCAAGGCTCATTTAGTGGTTAAAGGATATTCACAAAGGAAAGGTATTGATAATGCTGAAATTCTCTCCTGTTGTTAAGTTAACCTCTATTCGAATTCTGTTGAGTGTTGTTGTATCGGAGAATTTGCATCTAGAGCAAATAGATGTAAAAACAACATTTTTACATGGAGATCTGGACAAAGAGATCTATATGCAGTAACCGGAAGGATTTGTTGTTCCAGGCAAGGAACACATGGTGTGCAAGCTCACCAGGAGCTTGTATGGACTAAATCAAGCACCAAGGCAGTGGTACAAGAAGTTTGACTCCTTCATGACCAAGAGTGGATTCTGCAAAGCTGAAAAGGATCCTTGTTGTTACTTCAAGAAATACACTGATTCATATGTCTTTCTACTCTTGTATGTGGATGATATGTTGATTGAAGGATCTAGTATCAGGGAGATTAATAATCTGAAGACAAGGTTGTCTGTAGCGTTTGAGATGAAAGATTTGGGTCCAGTAAAACAGATTTTGGGGATGAAGATTTCTCGGGATAGATCTGCTGGCACTTTAAATCTATCTCAGGAGTTGTACATTGAGAAGGTGCTGAGCAGATTCAGGGTTAATGATGCTAAACCCAGGACAACTCTATTGGCAAATCACTTTAAATTGTCAAAGGAGCGACTCACCCAAGATTGCCGAGGAGAGTGATCACATGGCACTTGTTCCATATGCTTCAGCAGTTGGTAGTTTGATGTATTCTATGGTCTGCACTAGACCTGATATAGCACATGTAGTGGGAGTTGTTAGCAGGTACATGGCGAACCCTGGGAAAGAGCATTGGGAAGCTGTGAAGTGGCTTCTGAGATATCTGAGAGGTACATCCAGTACTTCACTTTGTTTTGGCAAAGGCAAGGTGACTCTACAGGGTTTTGTGGATGCTGATCTTGGTGGGGATGTTTACTCGAGCAAGAGTACATCCGGGTGCATTTACACCATAGGTGGAATAGCAGTGAGTTGGATGTCCAGGCTTCAGAAGTGTGTTTCTCTTTCATCTACTGAAGCTGAGTATGTGGCAATAGCTGAAGCTGGGAGAGAGATGATATGGCTGACAGATTATCTTGAGGAATTGGGCAAGAAGCAGAGCGAGAAGATTCTTGACTCAGATAGCCAGAGTGCCATACAGTTAGTGAAAAGTCCTGTCTATAATTCGAAGACAAAGCACATCAGAAGGCGATAACATTTCACTCGCAGGGCAGTGGAGGATGGTGATATGTGCTTGGACAAGTTAGAGGGTGCAAAGAACCCGGCAGACATTTTGACGAAATGTGTTAATGTTGGGAAACTGAGGTTATGTAAAACCTCGGTTGGTCTTCTGTAGTTGTTGCTGCAGATGTTGCGGTGCAGTAAAGATGTTGATGATGAATAGATTTTTTTTTGAGAATGTATTTTTTGGATGACTGAGTCTGTCTCCAAGTGGAAGAATTGTTAGGTAGTGGAGCCTTATTAATTTTAGGCTTTCCTATTTATTCTCTATTTTAGGCTTTCTTATTAATCTATTTTAAGCTTTTCTATTTATTTTTTATTTATTTCTCTGTAACCAAAAATACTCTGATTTATTAATATAAATGTTCCTCACCACCGTGGAAGTTTACTCACGGGGTGTTACCTTGAAATATTGGGTTTTCTCTCTCTCTCTCTCTAGATTTCTCATCTCTTTCTCTTGAAAGTTCTTGTGTTCTTCATTCATCTAGTGTGTGTGCGTGAATTCGATCCTAGCAGTCATTGGGCATGAGACGAATAATGAACTTGGTCTTTGAGCAGTCGCTTATGTGGATAAATATATTATGTATTTTTTAATGATATATTTTTTTCTATAACCCCTATGTAATAGAATTATTGTTTTTTATTTTTTTTTATAATATTTTGATTTCATCTTTCCAAAAGACAACTACAATAATATTTTGATACATTTGACATAATTTTAAATTAGGATCATAAAATTTAAAAAGTTATTTTATTTCTTAAGTTTCATATCAAGTCAAATTAGATCACTCTTTTTTAAATAGAGGGAGTAATTCATCTACTCTAAAAGGGGACAAGATCCTAAGGCTTGCCTGGTGCAGAAATATTTTGTTGAATAGAAACTGTTTGTTGCTTCCAACTACGCCAAAAATGGTGATGCATAGCATAACAAAACAAGTAGTATGCCCGAAAAAAACTTTATTATCTTAGACAGGAGGAACTTAGCCCTGTAAAAAAACAAAAACAAAGATGAAATAACAACAACAATATCAAAGCTAATGCCTTTTTGGGAAAAATAGCCATTGAAGTCATTCGGTACAACAACAAAAGGAAAAATTACATAACAACGATATTAAACCTAATACAGTTTTTTGGGCAATAGCCATTGTCACTACAAAGCTTAATTAATTAGGATCGACAGTTATAAGCATTTAAAGGATTTTCAACATCACCTCCACTAGCATGTTTAACAAATTCGGCTGGTGTCAGAAAATAACCATGACAAATACAAACAATCTTCACTTCTCCTCCCCTCTTATACGCGTATAAAAATCCTTCAGTCTTCTTTCCATTTGGTCCATCACCTTTAGTGGCAACACCAGGCATTTTGAGTAAGAAATTTCTGATTCCCTCTTTTCCCGAAAAGTCGGGTGATTGCTCATTAGTAGCTTCAATGGCTGCTAATACCAGATGCTGCATTTTCTCCAATGGGCCACTGACTGGAGGTATCGCATTAGAACTACCAGATGCACCTTCAATGAAAGTTCTATCAACTGAAGGAAAAAAAATATTTCTTAGTTTTAGACAAAAAAACATTAAGTGAACAAAAAATAATGAAAATGGAGAAATTAATTAAATGGAACAACTCAATTGTATTTTCGATCACCTTGATTAGGTAGGTGTTGTTAAGTTTCTGAACTAGTTCCAGCTGAACCAAAACTTCCTACAGATCCAGATCCACCAGGTGACGGCAAAGAAGAGGTTCCATTCCCTTCATTTTCCTCAAAAACTATAACATTCTTCAGTTTATCCCATCTATTCTGCTGCGTGTCCCCGCACGTCTGTGTCTGGAGGTCCCTCCTTTCCTTCCAGTCCATCCCAGTCTCCATTGGAGGCAACGAAGCCGTCCTATTAACAGAAAATGGATCACTCATTTTCACCCATTCTGTTTGAGTCTCCATTGGCGGCATGGAAGCTGCCCTCGTCACAGAAAATGGACCACTCATTTGCCTCCATTCCATCTCAGTCTCCATTCTAAGACTGCATTCAATTTCAGTCACCATTCTTCGCCTCCAATCCATTTCAGCCTCTAACCTTTTCCTCGACTCGATTTCAGTATCCATTCTTCGCCTCCAAGCCCAATTTCAGCCTCCAACCTTTGCCTTCACTCGATTTCAGTATCCCTCGGCAAAGAAGACGTCCTGGTCACAGAAAATGGATAATTTTGTTGCCTCCACTCCATTTCAGTATCCATAGGCGGCAACAAATTCCTTTGCCTCCAGTACTCCATTTGAGTTTCGATCGGAAGCTCTAATGTTAAGTCTACACTTATATCCTCTACAATCCTTTTTCCTTTGTCTTGATGATTAGCTTTCTCCATTTTAGCAAAAGCTAAAAGAATCGAGTTAGGTTTAGACAAATAGAAGTGAAAACTTTATAAGTTAGAAAAATAATATTCACTTGAAAAACTTATTAAAATTACACTTTTGAACTTGAAACTTATTTTGTGATTTTTTTCTGAAGAAGGTTCAGTATAACCAAACATTATTAAAAAAGTTACAGAAATTTCATTGTTAATTTGGAGTAAAATATTTAGATGCATTTTGGTCTGTAATAGTACAAATTTTATAAAAGGATATGTATAGTTTATTCTACATACCTTTTGATGAATATTTAATATGTTAATTATTCTAACAAATTTCTTATGATAATTAAATGTCCAAAATAGTCTTGTTTGACCTTTTTTTTATACTCCTCCCTATTTATAACACATATTAATTATGAGTCATTTCCTTACAAAATAATTCTAAATTAATTTGCAAATACCACTTTATTTACGTTAATTTTATACATTGAAGGCTGACTTTTTAAAAAAAATTCAATTTACACCCTATATATGTTCTTTTTTATGTGTTTGGTAGTTAATGATGGACACACCAAGTCATGAATTTTTTTAAAAATATTTGTGATGATGTATTTTGTGTAAGATTTTGACGATTTTAAAAATATTTATATAAAAATCAGTCACATATGCAAAAAATAAAACTAAAAATAGCAGCGCAACACAATATGCAATTAATAATATATGTATTAACAAATAATTATTTGATTTAACAAGAAATGAAAATTCTAACTTCTACAAATAAACTTAGAAAAATCTAAAATATTTAAGACCTACCGAACACATAAATAAAATAACTAAAAATTCTAAGTTTTTTAAGATTTATCAACAAATTAATATTCTAAGTAAAAATATAACTTACTAATCCTTTAAAAAGCTAACCCCCAAATTTTAATTAACACGTGAATACTACAATTCTTACCAGAAGAACCAAAATATTTATAATCAAAGAGGGATAACATATATATTAGGGAAAATGCACAAGTACCCCCTCAACCTATGCCCAAAATCCCAGAGACACACTTATACTATACTAAGGTACTATTATCCCCCTGAACTTATTTTATAAGTAATTTCTACCCCTTTTTAGCCTACGTGGCACTAGTTTTAAAAAAAAGTCAACCATCGTTGGGCCCACAAGATAGTGCCACGTAGACTAAAAAGGGGTAAAATATTATTAATAAAATATGTTCAGGGGGTAATAGGACCTTAGTATAGTATAAGTGTGTCTCTGAGATTTCGGGCATAGGTTGAGGGGGTACTTGGGCGTTATCCCTATATATTAATATATAATTGTCAGCTTTAGCAAGAAATAGATATTCTAACTCGGGAAATAGACGTAGAAAACCTTAAAGCTAGCAGTTGATAGCGAATCCTATCACATTAAGAAAACAACTTATATCACGTGTTTCAAAGTTTAGCAAGAAATGAAAAACTTGTAGTCGAAAAACAACAAAAGAATCCTTTAAAAAGTTTAACCCCAAATCCTAATTAGCACATTAATATTTCAAATTCTTACAAGAGAAAGAACAAAACTACACATAATCGAATAGAGATAATTAGAAAATGACATTTTTACAATATTAATTAGTCGATTTAAAAAAAATGATATTAGCCTCGTGATATTTACTCATAGAGAACTCTCTTCTCCTTTCTCATGTTGAGGAACATGCGAAATGCTTTTTACAAATAGGTTGAAATTAAATGCATTATTTTGTTTAGTGGCTTGATATCGAATTTTAAAATAAAATAATAAGGGATCAATATTTGTAATTTGTGTAGAATAGAAACTGTTAGTTCTTCTAATTAAGATTAAAAAAAAGAAGCACCGACTAGCAAAAAAATAATCTGACTGATTGGAAAATAACCTTAATATAACTAATGGGAGGAACTTTAATTTAGTCAGTACAACAACAAAAGGAAAGATGAAAAAATTAAACTTTAAAAAATACGCATCAAAAGAAGCCGAATGACTGCAAAATAACCTTAATATAGCTTTGATGGGAGGAACTTTAGTCAGTACAACAACAAAATAAAAGATGAAATAACAACGATAAAAAAGCTACTGCTTTCTTTGGAAATAACCATTGAATTATTCGGCACAACAACAAAATAAAGGATCAAATAACACCGATATTAAGTCTACTTAATTTGTTTTCCTTCAATAAATTTATGTTGTAAACGGTTTACTACGTCACCTCCACCAGAATGTTTGACAAATTCATCTAGAAAATTACCATGACAAAAACAAACTATCTTTACTTCATCAATCTCCTTACAGGAGTATAAAAGTCCTTCATTCTTCTTTCTTTTTGGTCCTTCACCTTTTGTGTAGACATTAGCCATATTGTTGAGCACGAAGTTTTTGAACTTCTCTTATGAATATTTTCCTCTGAATACACAAGTTATTTCTATTCAATTGAAGATTATTTCACATCGTGAACTAAAGCTAAAAGTATAAATTGTTTCCCACTTTAATTTTGGTACAAATTAAAATTGACTACATATATATAATCATTTCGTAAAATCTTGATACCTTGAGTAGGTGGTTGTTGGATTTCGACCTCAGCTACACTTGAAGCAACACATCCTTGCGATCCACCTGGAAACATCAAAAAATATTTTATCAGTTATTCACATAAAATGATTTATTTTTTTCGAGTGAACATCAAAATTACAATTCAATGGAAGCCCTAAATTTAGCTTCATAGTTTCATTCTCTACATTCCTTGAAGTTCCTATGTTTTCTTTAGCTTTCTCCATGTTAGCAAAATCTAATCTCATAAAACTATTGAATTTTGAACTAAAAAAACTATAAACTAGGAAAAGAAAAACTCCACAAAAGTCTCACTGTGGAGAAAATGTTAGGCCATTGGGAGCTTATAAAGGATAAAATTTATGGGCGGGAGGGTAAAAATAGCGTGAAGAGGATAACACGATCACGTGGTTTATGAAGCACTTTGGAAATTGATCCCAAGAGGTAGCCACTTAATAGTGACACATGTCAGTTATAAATTCATTTTATAATTTTTCTTACCATTTTAAAAAGAGAAAAAGGTTAAATGTATTTTTTTACTTCTTTTTATTGGTCAAATTTATTAAATGTTATAACGTTACTGAATTTAATAGGGTAAATGAAGCAAATTTAATTTGTTTAAGGCCTAATACATGTCTTTTTCATGAGTTTTTGAAATTATTATTGTGACAAATTTTGGTCTCTCAATGCATGTATTTGACGCATTCTATTACATGTATCTAGATATTTATATCCAAGTGTATTCACATATATTTGACTTTTCCCGCCTCTCTCCCTTTGTATCTATTGTTAATTACCATCAGTTAGAATCCATAACTACCATATATAGTTGATTACGTAATATTTCTATATAATTTTCTTTAATTGTACTTACCATGTATAGTTTTACCATGTTAAATAGTTTAACATGCACCGTTTTCTTGTAATCTTATAAGGAGACCCTTCTTTCTAAAAGGAATAAAAATCATGTTTTTTCTCTTGTTCATATGATATCATGATAGTGTCATCAGTCATTCTAAGGAATCAAAGAGCTTTCGTTATCGAGGGTGACTGTTACTCATGCATGTCGCCGTCTGGCCAACAATTATTTGAACAAAATTTGGCTCACCACGTTCTTTCTAGTGATACTTTCTTATCTTTGATTTTTATAGCATCGTGTCATATTTTCAGTGATTTCTTTCTCATATTTTATTTTGTGTTGCAATGTACCATTTTTTTCCAGTTATTTTAAGAGAATTATCGTAGGTAGATATTGTAATTGATGGTAATTAACATCCCCCTAAAACTTATAGTGGTCAACCAACAGTTTGCCAATAACACACTATTTGGATGGTAGTTACCCGTTGTAATGTATTTAAATACAATATTATATAATCAACTATATACGGTAATGAAGAATAATTCTCTAAATTATTAATAACTTAAGTAGTTAAGATCATCACTAAAAGAATGATAAATTACATATGAAAAAAGTTTCAACTATCAAACTTTGAATAATTCATTTATTTTAAACTATAAAAGAATCTCAATAATTCACTTTATATAGACTAGAGGAAAAATTAAATATGTTTTGATTAACAATTTCCTATAAATTGGCAACAACTGTTTTGGGTTAACAGAGTAGAAGTTGACGAGTTGAAGGGTTTCTAAGTTTGGGTATAAATTTCTTGCTAATTATATTTGAAATATAATGTGTTAAAGTTATTCTATTTATATTTTATAGGGTTTGGGAATAACTGAATTAAAATTGTCTGACTTATATTTTCAAGCTAGATATTTACAATCCAACTTAAATTCTTTGTTCAAATTTAGAGTTTAAGAGGCAGAAAAAAAAGAGAGTCGTGTATGATCTATACAAAATTAAGTGGGATGACTTGACTATTGTCATTACTCAGGAAATAGAGATGAAATTGTAGACGATGGGTTTGGTGAAAATAGTGCGGACATTCATAAATAGTAGTGAAAACTAGTTGCATTAGGAAAGAAGCTAGAAAATTATTGGAGTCTCGTGGAGTAAGGTTAGAAGAGACAACAGAGGAATTGCTCGTGGAATAAAGTGATATAATTGATGGTGGAGTAAAGCGATTCAAGGGAAAGTGAGAGCCAAAAGGAATGCTTAAAGGGAGTTGTTAGTGAGCAGTGACATGAAATATAATGGTCAAATAAAGAATTGTATAAGGTGACGA